TTTCAAAAGATATCTTCTAACCCCCCTGACCACTTTAAACCTATTTTTTAACCAAAACAAATGTGAGTAAAACATGCTCTTTCTAAACCTAATCATTTCTCTATCTTCACTCCTTCTCTCTCTTCGTATGTCTCTCACTCTCTCCTCCCCTTTTTCTTTAAACAACTCTCTCTCTCCTCCAAGGTATCTCTTACCTCCATGAATCCCTTCTCTCTCTCTCTCTTGTAGTTTGGGATGATGGCTTTTAGAAAAGGCATGTCTTTTTAGATTTGTTTGACCTAAAAAAGAAGGTTTAAATTAGCTCAGGGGGTTAGAAGAAACAAAATCTACAATTTTTATGTCCCAAGATATCTTTTAGAACCTTTGGTCTATTGTGAAATGAAACAAAAAAATAGGGGGTATAGATATATTTTCCCTATATATAGAGATATAGGTATGCTCCAATCGTGTTGGAACCATAGTTAGCAAGTCAGGGAATAATAAAAAGTCGACAAGCCAAAACATTGGTAATGAATTGTTTTTGTTTCAAAAAGTCAATAGAAAAAATTGGGTAAAAAATACAGATCTCCAAAAAACTGACGTAAGTTATAAAGTCGTGAAAATTCAGCTTTATCTAAAAAAACAGAGTGAAAAAATTGGATATGTAAAGATGACATAATATAGGATTATGATTTGCAGTTATTTTATAGGTACATTAAGCCATTGAACAATAATTTTATGACCATACCTAGTGTCATTAGAGTGATACTTGATAATTTATTGTCCAAAATTTTAATAAGTCCAACAACAGTGCTTACTATGTTGTCACAACACGAAACATATCATAAATTTATTTGGAGCATAAAATGGAATATAAATAATACTTAACACAAGAACCATATTAATAGGTAACAAGAACTGTAAACTAAGCTATAGGATTATTGTTTGAAGAAAAAAAAAAGACAAAAAAGACCCTTAGTATAGGATTGCAATTAACTAAAACAAAATACAGACCCAAATACATAAAATAGTTGTCCATCCAAAATGCTATGTTATATACACCAATGAAATAAAAAATAAAAAAATATCATTAATAAAACTTCTTTATATATGAAAAAAGCAACAAAATGTTTAAACAAATCAGATTTTCATATACAAAATCTTTAAGAAAATCCTAATCTTATACAAAATTCTCTTTATAAGGATGCGCTGGGTTAAAAGAATTTTTTTTTGTTTTTTTTGTTTTCATTGGGTTAGTCTTCTAACTCTGCCTATTATTTTGAGATATACGATTGTTCTAAAATCTTATTTTTTAGATAGTATATTGTTTGTAATTTTTTGTAAATGTTTTTTTTAAGGGAAATTATTGGTGAAACATTTTATGGAATTTTACTCTAAATCAAGATTCTTAATTTACTCCTACTATTAATTTGCTTATCTTTAAATAAAAATTCAATGATATTAAGTTAATGAAGAAATAAAGTTACAGGGAGAAGTTTTTTATTGAAAAAAAGATAGAATACGGGTTTACATCGGTTCTATGAAAAAAGCGAAGCTTTTTGAAGATCTTTTGAAAAAGTTGTAGTTCTAAACGGATTTAAAAAAATCAAATTTTTTTTTTTAAGGATCGTGTTTTAAACGGAGACTTGCTAGCCATGGTTGGAACCGACCCGATCCGTTGCCACCCGTAATTGAGGCCAAATGAATGGTTAGCTTGGACACAAATATCAACCCTATAAAAAGATTAGAGAAGACCCCAAAAACAGTCCAAACACCACCAAAAGAGTCTCCTCTCATTTCGCAAAATCAATAGCATTCCAACTCATTTGGCAAAAGCTTGGCCAAAGGAAACACTGACCAGGTCGCATGAAACCATTTTCTTGGCTATAAAATCCCGACCCCTTTCCGATAAACCCCATACCCCTCCAAATCATTAGATAGGCAAAACTTTCATGCAAAATGGCCGGAATGTGGTCTTTTCCGGTCGTTGCCCTCGTCTCACTCGTCTTGGTCTCGTCCTCTGCTACCGCCCACAATGATTTCCACTCATGGCTCGAGAATAACAAAGCTATGTACGAAGCCAGAATGGGTCAAATAGCGAATGGAATTAACGTTACGATGGAGGACGCATTGGCAGTTGCAGAGAACGGCACTAAGGTCCTAGTCGTGTGCAAGGACGGTAGCTGTGACTATGGAACCTTGCAGGCTGCAGTAGACAGCATCCCTGTGGGGAATACACAACGTTATATCTTGAAGATAAAACCTGGTCTCTATAAGGAGAAGGTGAACGTGCCAAGGACCAAGCCCTTTGTGACTTTCTTGGGTGACCCCATCAACATGCCGACAATCTCATATAACGGTAATTCGGCCAAATATGGGACATGGAATAGTGCCACAGTTATCGTCGAGGCAGACTATTTTATCGCCATGAACGTCATTTTCGAGGTGAGAGAGTTGTTACAGGGAGAGATTGAAGGGTAGCAAAGATTGAGAGAGAGATAGATATGGATCTCAAAAGATAGAAATGTACATATATATTTCAGATGAGAGAGAGAGAGAGAAAGAGGCGCGGTACAGCTGGTAAGGATCTAGCTTGAGCTCATAGCTAGACTTGGCATTTATGGTCAGGCCTGGTCCTCAAGACTAACAAGGGAGCCAAACTATAACCTAAATCAAGCCTAGCCAGGAAGCCGGTTAGCCAGCCCAAAACATTTTCTGAACAATTGCTCCATTTTCAATAAAAATAGTAAAATTTCATGTAACCCTTACGCTTAGTGTTGGAAACCACAACTTGGGGACACAACTCGACCATGGGCAGAGCCCGAGTAGCCGATTAACTTGGGCCAAGTTCTGAGTTACTTGGCTTGAGTCGGGATAGGTCAGGCCAGGCTAGGCTAAAAGGTGGTTTTTTTTTTTTAAAAAAAAAGTTTAAAGCAAGATTAAATAAAACACATCTAAATGAGGTTAAAAAAGTGGTAAAAAGATGGATTTTGAAAAAAAAAAAATTGCGACCGACATTGTTTTATAATTAATTCAAAAAGAAAAAAAAAATGTAAAACTAAATATTCATAGCCAAAACACCTCCAATCTTTTCCAAAACGATAGAAAACATAAAGAAATATGTTACAAATGCATTTCTCCTCTTTTAAACTTTTTATAACTGTTTGAATTTTTTAACATCCCCAAGCTTGACCATGAAACTGGGGGTACTTGGGCTCGCCAGACCTGCCAGGTTGTGAGTTGGGAGTTACTCCGGCAACTCTGGATTGGCCCCCCTGTGTAGTCGGACACTGCTTACACTACGATGTAAGATTCAAGAACTGTCGAACATAAGCATAAAAATCTAACAAAAGTTAGGTATAATTCTAGAAAGTATACATCAAACCATTGTATCATATATGAAAATGGAAAGAGAAAAATATATTTATTTCATTTATTGTCCTAAAGAATTTGCTTGTATCATATCAGAACTCATCCCCGAGACCAAAGGATGGGGAGGAGGGACAGGCAGTGGCCCTTCGTATTTCCGGCGACAAAGCAGCGTTCTACAGATGCAGATTCATTGGGTTTCAAGACACTCTTTGCGACGATGTCGGTCGCCATCTCTTCAAGAACTGCTTTATTCAGGGGACAGTCGACTTCATCTTTGGAGCTGCTAGATCCCTCTACTCTGTAAGTCTCTCTTTTCTTAGGCTTTGGAAAATTAAGACACAGTCATGTGATTTCAATGAGAAATATTGCTCTCCACAATAGGTTGATATGTTAAGTTCTTGGGCGATTTTCTTCGATTAGGGTATGAGCCAAATTTTTTTTTTTTTCTCAGAAAAGTAGGATAATAGAAAAAACAATGAGTACAATGTCTTCCCAGAAAGTTATATAAAAGTTGCAGGTTAATTGGAATGATCTTTTTATATATTCTTATTTTTTTTATAGAAATTTTATATACTCTTTTGTAGATCTATTAATGTTGGGCAGTGATTTCATGCCACAGCTGTATAGTAATCTATTGCAACAATCTTCAAAAACCATGTTAGGGACAGTTGTGTGATCCAATCTTTAAAATATACACTCTTTTCATTCTAATGAATAATCACAAAAAAGAAAAATTTGAAAATGCTACCCTGGAAGTTTTTTTTTGTCCAATTAACATAGGCCGTCCATTTTAATAAGATGTTTAGATCTAGGCCTTAGAATGATTTTTTTTTATTTCCAATTTGTTTAGATAGCTTTATTACCATTAGATGAACAATTTTAAAAAAAAAAAAAAAAAAAAATTTGATTTTGAGTTTATAAAGGCTAAGATATTGAAATTCACCAATTGAATGGTCTAGATTTGTTGTTGGAAGGGGACCCATTTTGACCATATCTAGGGTTCAAATTGAACCTTTTTTTTTTTTGGATTGATTATTGAGATGAAGAAAGTGTGTGTGCAAAATTTTGAGTAACAAAAATACCACAAACATGGTTTTTTATAAGTGTGGTTGCATTATAATATGATACAACTGTTGCATTAGATCACTGCCCATTAATGCTATGGGATGGTATGGTGTTCACATCATGTAGATACTGAAATATTGTACAACTACCTTCCAATGATTCTTATATGAAGGAAAGAAAAAGGATGGTCACAACTGGACTTAGTACTTTGATTATTACTTTTTCCTGTAATTTGGATTTATAAGAAATTTTCAAGTATGGGCACCTCATCCAGACTAACGTAAAATAAATATAAAAAATAATTCGAAGAAATCAAATAGACCAAAATATTCATTAATGTTTTATGGATATATTGGTCAATTAATTATTATTTGTTGTTATTATTATTATTTTTTAAGTGGGTGCAACCAACCAAGAAATATCGATGCCTAAAGTTTCAAGTTAATCAAGTTTGTATAAGAAGAATAAAATTGAAACATCATATGTAATTATGTCTGCCTTTTTCTTTGTTTCTAATATGAACCGTTGGGCGGCACCATTCAAGCATCTATTGTTGCATACGTATCAAACTAAGTTCATTTTTGGAAAGATATAGAAATATGAGAAATATTTACCATTACGTTGGTGAGTAATGAGCAGGTTTTTCTCCTTTTTCCTATGCTTTGGTAATCCTCCTAAGAAATTTTTTGGTGTTTTTAATGGTGGGGTAACAAAATTTATACATGCATTAAAACAAGCAGTTTTTTAGACGATGGCTCATAAACAATCAAAGTAATGCATACCTTTAAATCTAGCTAAAAGATGCATATCTGGAAACCTTTATGACGACTTAAAAAATAGTGTAGACAAAACCGATCTAGAAACACTTAAACTTTGGAAAATAGAGGGTCTAGATAATGTGCTACAAGACATACAATTTTTAGGACTTGAATATTTTGTTCTTCATGTCTGTACAACTCGAGGTCTAGATGATCAATTGTATGAATTTTCAATGTTGGAACAACCTTTTTTGGGTAAATTTTTGAGGTGCACCTTACTACTGTAGGGTATGGTTGACAACCTGCATAAACTTCTTCAGTTTAGTACATGGAAATGTATATAATGAGACCATTTATTTACTTTTGATACAAGAAGGTCACAATCATCATGGGCCATTGCATGTAGAATCGGATGGTTGGATATGTGTCATTGATTGGACATAAAATCTAAAATAAAATTTCTCAAATATTGTGACACTTCAATTTATTGGATTTTACATCCAATAGCTAAAAGTGATTACGTCTTTACACTAGGAGTAACTAGTCTCATAATATACAATCCCTTTTATATATCCTCTTTATTTCAATATATAATCAACATCCATCAAAAAGGAAAAAATAAACCACTTATCATTGTTACGAGAAGGTTATAATTATGCCTAGCTATTAGATGTCAAATTAAATGGTTTAGAGTGTGTCATGAAGTTTATGAAATTCTTTTTGAACTTTAAGTTTAGTCTCAATAAAACAATTAGATTTAAAATTTGATAGACGAGAATGCTTGTCACCTCCTTATACTTTTCCATGAATTAAAACATGATAATAGGACGTTGGTTCTTATCCTTGATGGATGAAATCTCAACCTGTCAACCAACAACAGTTGTTGAAATTGGATTCACATACGACCACTAATTTTGCTTTGCACCCAACTGGCTTTCCTTTTTTTACATCAACTTGCTTTCCTTTTTTTATTTTTTTTTCTTTTTTTCCTTTTTTTTTAACTTGCATTCCTTGGCTTGGGTTGGAGGAGCAGAACTGTGAGATCAACTCAGTGGCCACTGGGCGAACAGCCATCACAGCTCAGGCTCGGTCGAGCGAGAGCGATGAGGGCGGGTTTTCGTTTGTGAACTGCAAGATCACAGGCACAGGGCAGGCTACCCTGAGCAGGGCGTGGCGCAAGTACTCGCGAGTGATCTTTGCACGCACCTACATGGGCAACCTCATCGATAAGTTGGGGTGGGACAACCATGGCTACACTGACAGAGATCAGTAAGTAAATTTCTATGGTAACATATGTAAGTCTGCATGTGTGTGTGAGAGAATAGATACTATGATTTCCTAGCCCGGCCCTCTTTATTTATTTTTATTTTTTTCTTTTTCTTTTATTTCATTAGTCTTTTGCCCCTCTACGGGACATGGCTCGCCTGTGAAGGCATAGCCGGCTTCCAACCTGAAAAACTATTCTCACATGTTTGGTTTGTATGAAATTTTTTCGTAAAAATATTTTCACATTAGGTTTTGAAATTTTTCCAACCCAATTGGTCCACGGCACAAAAGTTCATCATAAAAATGAGAAAACATTCACATGGGGAGTTCTTTCATGAGAAAATATTTTCACAAAAAATTTTCAAACGAACTAAACATGTGAGAATAGTTGGTGTTAAAGAGTGAGAGCAGGCCTCACCAGCCTTGTCCCACAGCCCCGAGCAGGCAAAAAAACAAATAAAGAAAAAGTAAAACAAAAACACAAGAAATAAAGAGGGCCGGAACGGGCTAGCCCTAGCTCGGCCCTTAGGGCACACAATTTGTGGCCCAAGCCCTAAATTTTTAGGGCGGAGCCTACCAGGCTGGGGCATTGGCAGCCTAGTTGTTGTATGGTTAGGGGAGAGTAATTGTGCATGTGTTTGTTGTTGGCAGGACGGTGTTCTACGGAGAGTACCAATGCTTCGGACCAGGTGCTACCATGGATGGACGCGTCCCCTACGCCAAGAAGCTAAGGACGGAAGACGTGAAACCCTTCTTAGATGTCACCTACATTCTTGGCCGCACCTGGCTCCGCACGCCACCCCCTTTCCAAAACCTAAACTAAGTCCATTGTGGAGGGTTTGAGTGCGACGAAGGCCCAAGCTTTGTTTTCTCTTTTCTGTTTTTCTCTATTCATGGGCTTTTTTTCTTTGGTTTTCGGGCTGGTTTATCAAGGCTTCTTTGCCATGGTAAGTGTATGAAAGTTTTCCGTTTAACGATCATGGGAGAAATTGGGTATTCAAACCTTGTGTCTACTTGGGCTGTTAGGCATCAGTAGGCCTGTTGGGCATAAACTAACGAGTGAAGATATGATCTAACAATAGTTTACTTTTTATTTTTATTTTTAAATATCGGCTGGAGCACGTATATATGTCCAAGAATTGCATTCTTCCTTCAATATGAACCTTAATACAATCTAGGCACTTCTCTTGCATACCATTATAATTTTATACAATTAAACAAAAATTCAATGTATGAAGAATCAAGAAACATGGAGCCTAGAATTACCGAATACCTTCAGGTAACCCCCAAAGGACTTCGTACACCCCACACTAGGTTTGTTCCACCGATGGTGGACGGGGATCTTGGTCTTTCTTGAATCTCAGCAAATAAAAGCTTTGACCAAACCCTCTTCTTCGAGGTATGAGAGCATGTGTGTGCATAACATGGGGTTTTTCCTCTCTAAGTATGACAGGTGTGCCCCGTTTCCTTATTGACCACCAAGGGGTGTGCCCCTTTTATTTATTTTCTAATCCTTAGAGAGTGTGTGAGAGAGAGATGAGAGTACCGAGAGAGTGGCATGCCGCCCTAGGAGGACGAGAGAGAGAGAGATCAATTAGGTGTGCGTAAATGGACCCTTATGTGACGTATTTATAATAAAGAGGCAAGGGTTTGGGATTTACAGTTGCCATCTTTATGGAGATTTGATATTGATTGTAGATTATAGGTGATCTTTGGAATGAGAGATCTTAGCCATACAATCTTTAGATCAACTATCATAATATAAAGAAAAGTATTAGAACTTTATCCATCAGTCTCGTTAACTTAATCCCATAAAAATCTCTTTTATAGAAAAGAATCATATAATAAAATTTACGTCATATGATTGGTAATCAATTGTCATACTTTTCATTTTGAAATCAAACAATCATATCTCTGCATAGCTTCTAGATGGCTTCTTTAACTAGCCACCTTGTAACAAAAGGAGAAATAAAGAAAGAGTGGGGCATCCCATTCAAGTGGGATCCAAGTGGGCCCCACGCCCCATGCAAATGAACCTAATGGGTTGGGGTCCAATAAATTTTGGGCCTCGACAATTTTAAATAAATTTTAAAATAAATAAAATTATTTTTTTAAAATATAAGTATTTTATTTTTCCCTTTGAATATTTAAAAACTTGAAAATTTAATTTTTACATATTTAAACAATATTTTGGTAAAATAAGATGTTGAGAGCCTTCAAAAAAATCATATTGTTATTTTAAAAATCATTTAACACAAAATTAAATATTAAAAAATTATTTTGATGGATATCAGATCCAACTTGTTAAGGAAAATGAAAATATACTAATGCAGTCCATCTCTACTAGTGACCACGACCCACGCTCACTTTCTTAAATTGACCCAATAGCTCCTATAACCCACAGTCTATCACATGGGTTCATAATTGGACCATCAAAGCTAACCAATCGATGGTAAGTCCTAGTTTATGGACTACAGGTACTCCTAGGGACAACCCTAGGTCACACATACATGTTCACACTTATTGAAATTGGTGCATGGGAGCTATCTCTCGAACATATATACGTCACGTACTCAATGGTGTCTGCTCCCACTATGGCTATCATATGTACATATTGTGCAATGGTCATGATGAGAAGTTGACCCTTGTCCCTTCAGGCACTCCAATCGTACACAAAAATCACATTGTCCCTTGTCCAAACATTCTGGGCATATCTCCAACCTCATCCAGGGCTAAGCCTACACTCTCCACGATTGTTCCTCATGGCCAGAGATAAATGGTTTTGAACTCAACCCGGCCCTACTCGTCAAGCCTAGTTTGAGTTTTAGTTTGAGTTTCGACAACAAAATTGCCAACTTTAGTCTTTGGTCCCTTTGGACTATACTCCCACTAGAGTTATCATATTACCATAGTCGTAGTTTTACATGCTCTCATAAGGCCTTTAAATGGCCACATAACCCTAATAGTTAGATGACTTTATTTTCATTAGTGAATAACGCTAAAAATAAAAAACTAACTTTGAATTCCTAAAAGCCTAGTTCCTTAAATTCACCAAATGCACTGTCAAGATTCGTTGTTAGAGGGGGACTCATTTTGAGCATATTTAAGATGCAAATTGAATTTTACTTTTATAGAAATTGCTTATTGGGATGAAGATCAGGTATATGCAATTTTTGAAGCCATATATATGGCACAAACATCTTTTTTCTTCATTATATTACAATGATAGGGTCGCACAACCTGCCAGCACACATACACGCATTCTTACACCCTAAAAGGACATTTAAGACCACCTTGGAAAATGCATACTCTAGTAGCAAAACTGCACTTCCTTATTCGTCCTACATGCAGAACAAAAATAGAGGATATTTCATGTTTTTTGTGAGGCCAATATGGTTGTTGATGGTTTAGGGTTGTCATGCCTTTATAAGCCATCATGGGAAGGTCTGGACTTTTTCTCTTCTTCTCTCTCATACGATGTAGCAAATATCCCTACTGATAGTGCTATAAAATAACCATGAGCTGTAAGCACATTTTCCTTATCTTATTATCGAAAAAGGGTAGAGGCCTAAATTGCGATTGATTTACCCAAAAAAGAAAAACAATTTATTATTTTATTTGAAATATTACTTATATGGACATATATTATTGTACTTCAAACACTTACTAGACATACATTCAGATTGATGAGAACCCACAATATCCGGTGATTTCCCATACAAATCGGCCATGATAGTGTTACATCGTAGGCATCATGTCTTTGATTGCAACATTTCACGCCTTGAATTTCTTACCCTACGTCAGAAGTTCTATGTGGATTTGAATGTTAAAGGCAAAGATAGAAACCTCTAGTTTCTAGGGACTATCTTTTTCGAGAAAGGATTGTCTACAAGGAGACCATTTATGTTTTTTATATTGAAGTATTTATCATATTTGTCCCTTAAATTTCAAAATGGGTGATTGTAAGAGTGTCATTGAATAGATACAAAGTTTCAAAATTTTTTTTCTCAAACTTCATGACTCATGCCATACAATCCAATTTAACATCTAATGAGTGAGAATGATTGTGACTTCCATATATAAAAGATAAGTGTTCCATTGGTAGACAATCCCTTTTAAAAATGCTCTTTGGTCATTAGGATCTAAGTCTCACTACCAAATGCATTTAAGAAAATCCTGCCTCAAGGAAGTATTCTTTTTTATATTGTTATGGAACTAATATAGCTGAAGCTCTACTATTAGGGGGATCGAGGCCCACTCATAGTCTTTTATTGTCTGATAATTGGATTAAGTGGAACCTACATTTCATTGGAACACATGAATTTCTATGATCAAATGGCTACTTAATGTAGAGTTGTAGCGCAAAAGGATCATATGACTAGTCTCTACAACCACCTTTGTGGTGCATCCGGCATCACAAGCACCGGTATACAATTACAAACGAAGAAATCGAAAGGTGGACATATAAAGTGCATATACAAACTCTAATAAGGCCTTTAATGGCTACA